AATTCATATCCTTACAGAACAAGAGGTACTGTTATACATTTGTGTTTTTCAGCATTTATATATATTGAAGAGACATGAAATGAAGATTCTGACTAAATTATGATATGAATTTTGTAAGTTTATCTTGCTCATAATTTTATCATGAATATCATGACCACTCTTAAGACATATTTTGATCCTTAGGTACTTGAAATTAATCTGTTTTACAAGAGATTTTGTTTTCAGCTGTTGATTATGATATAATCATGATTTTGTCTGGGATTTCGGACTTTTCTTTAATAATCAGATTCTGTTATATGTGTATTCATTTTCAAATACCTGTTTGTGTTACTAAAATAAACATTGTGTTCTTTAGTTCATACTGTTGCTTTGCAATGAATGTCTAGATCAGATATTTTTTAATCTGTTCTGCACACTCAGCCATCAATAAAGTAGGTGGTAAGTTAGGAGGGGAATAATTCAAATCTGAGGAGCAGACTCACAGATGGACATTTGCAAAGTAAGTTACAAGTTGCCTTCGCTAACATCAAAGTGGGCATCTTTGATGTTATTAAAGTCAAGCAGTGGCAGATGCCTCATTAACCCTTATTAACTGTTGTAATTAAGCAGAATTCACATCCTCACCATACTCGGGCAGCTGTTTTGTGCTTCACAGTTTCAATTTCTTCTGACGCTTAGGGTTTCTTGATGTTAAAAGTGCAGTGTCTCATTATAGCTGGCATGGGGTGTGTTTTGATTTGCCTTCTAGTCTAAAGAATGTGCATGACATTTTCTATATCATTCTTCTGTTGGATTCATATGACAACAGATGAATCCCTTTTATGATAAATAATGGAAGGTGAGGATTAAATTCTTTTGCTTTCGGAACCCTTTTAAGTGATGGGACCCCAAATCAAAACTAATAACTGCAAATATAAAAATGGCAGATTCCAGTTTGTATATACAAATTTTGTAGGAAATGCGTGCTTGGGTGCATACTAAATATGGATAGGTGCATAGTCATCACATAATTAATGTTTTCTTTGTCTTATTTTCTTAAAAAAAATAGTAAAAATTGGAAAGTTCTTGCTTTCTACTCTTTCAGTCAAGAAGGCAGACTTAAAAGCTTGTTGTGGGGCAGGCTTGCCTTTCAGGTTAATAATTGTACTAGAAAATAGCCTCAGGTTTGTATTTGGAATGGAACCTTCTTGTAGATAAATTTACCTATTGAACCCCTAGGTAAATCTCATACAGTATCGGTTGGTGGAAAACAGTAGTAAGGTGACAAAAAAGTGTGAAGCATGAAATACCTTCTTTCAGCATTTTAATATACAAGGGGGTACCCAAAAGAAACCAAACTTATTTTTTTTTAAACTTATTTATTCAAATTTTAAGCACAAACCTTCAATCCCCTTCAAAGTACTCTCCACTTACACTAATACACTTGTCTAGTCTTTTATTCCATTTTTCAAAACATTGTCTAAATTCATGTTTTGAGATGCGCCTCCATCGTTTTTTCCTTTCATGTCTCTTTTCATTCGAGGAAACAAAAATAAAAGTCGCACAGGGCAAGGTCGGGTGAGGAACAGGGGTCATACCATTTTTGGTCAAGAATTTTACAGACAGGCTGTGTGAGCAGGGGCATTGTCATGATGGAAAAACCAGGACCCGACTGCCACAAATCTGGCCGCTGAGCTCCAAGTCACTCCCGACAGCTCCACAATTTTTTCAACATTTTCATGTGTTCTGGCCGTGGAAGGACAACCAGAACGAGGTGTGTCATCAATTGACATTTCACCATTTTTGAAACGGGAAAACCACTCAAACACTTTAGTTTTCCCCATAGCATCGTCCTTGTACGCCGTTTTTAACATTTCAGGAGTTTCTGTTCCACTTTTCCTGAGCAAAAAGAATTTCACCGCCGCACGCTGTTTACGAAAATCAGCCATTGCAAAAACGACGATCACACAAAACAGTTGTCACTATAAACTCTGCCAAAACTAGTCCTTACCTTCTGAAGCAACGGTAGTCGGCTTATCGACTCAGAATGTTAGCTCTATGCGCTCATAGCGGCAAAATGCAGTACTACAAAAGCTCTGCCCACAAAAAAATTAGTTCGGTTTCTTTTGGGTACCCCATCGTATATATTACTTTTTCAGTTCTGTTTTACCTTATTTGAAGCTTAATTATTCTCAGTTTTTAAATGAATACTCCTTAAGCAAATGTGTCATGGAAGTGCTCATGTCCTTAACTTCTTCCAAACTATTCAGAAGCTCAGGATTGTACAGTGTCATCAGACTGACTTCCAATTCTGCTGTATGGACTGCAAAAGTTAATACAATTATTAAAATAAAAATGGTTTGTTAGCAAAGAGTTATTCTTGTCTTAGAAATACCACCAAAGATTGTATGGGTTAATATAAACATTTATACTCTAGGAGATAGTTAATGTAAAGAAAAGCTGACAAAAGGAGGAGGGAATATCTTTGTAAAAACAAAATCAAAATGTAATCAGATATAGGTAATGCATCATGGTAGTAAACAGGACATAGAATACTGTGCTGTGTAACTGGAATATAAATTCTCTTATGTCTGCATCCTAGATGTATACAAAACACTATCAGATGATACAGAACTGTTTTCAAACAAGCTAGAAGACAATTTTTTTTATAAACTTAAAGCAGAACTTGTTATTTGTGGTGACAGATATTGATTATTTTACTGAAACTTGCCACAGACTATGTCTGAATTCACTACTGACATCTTTTAATCTTACACCAGCCGTTAACTTCCCCCTCTCCCCCCCCCAAAAAAAAATCCAAATTATTCCAGTACTGTTATTGATAAAATTTTTATATACTGCATTATGAAAGATTACATTCTGTCAAACCAGTGTGGTAACTGGGCTGTCTAATCATGATGCTCAACTTCTAATTATAAAAAATATAGAAATGGTTTTAAATTGTCATAAGACATGCACTATATAAACAGTGACACTATTGATCAATTTACAACATATCTAAGAATTGAGAATTGGGACTCACTATTAAGCACCCATGATGTACAGTCAAAATTTAACACATTCTGAAACATTAGAATTTCTTAAGCAAGTTTCCTCACCAAAACAGATAAAAAGGTGTCTGAAAATAATGAATGGATTACTAAATGTACGAAAACAGCTTGTAAACATACATGAAATCTGTATTTAAACATTGATCTAGTAACAACCAAATAATGAAAATTCACTACAGGAAATATTGCAAAGTTTTAATTATAGTGTAATTAAAGAGGCCAAACTTTTCATTACAATAAACAGTTATTAGTCACATAACAAAGTAAAAACAATCCTGAGAATTGAGGAAAAGGAAATGGGTAAATGCTTGTACAAAAGAAGAGATCTCCATCAGTAAAGATAAATGATAATGTAATAAAAGATCCTCAACTCATACCAAACTACTTCTTAATTGTTAAAGCAATGAACAATGAAACTAGAAAAGTGACATACACTCGACTTGTGGGGACATAAAAATATTCATAGGGCTAAATAAAAAAATACAAAAACCATCAATACTGAAAGAAGAAAAGAGTGCTAGAAAAAAACAAAAGAGTTATGTTTCCAAAGGTATTTTAATGTGAACGACAAATGTGTAACAACATTAGAATAAGAACTAAAGCAGTGTAGCTGTTTCAACAAGTGAATAGTTTCCTGAGGATGGCCAAGTAAGGCTGAAACATGTAGCACTTATCTGTGATTTTAAATAAAGGAGAGATTGTAAACAGAGTTGCATTAAAGACATTAATGAACGTTTAAAGTGAAACTAGAAACAATAAAAGGTGTAACAGGTTTCCTATCTAAAGCACTCTTGAAAAACTTCCCGGATATAACGTAACTAATAATGTTGGATTAGAGGTTTTCATGGTGGTGAGTATGAAGTTTTGTGTCTGCTGGAGTATAATGCTGTCTAGTCCAGTGAAGGTCAACAGACAAGTAAGCCAAGCAGGTAACCAGAATTAAACTTTCCTGATGCTGATTTGTTTCTTGGCTTACTTTTCAGTCCTGAAGGCGGAGGTGATATGATTCTTTGAAACACCTGTTGATTTTTATTGGATTACTCAGCATTGTATCCCAGGAGACAGATTTCTTAAAAAATATAGTAATCCTTTGTAATAACAAATTTCATGTAGTTATTATGAAATATGAGCAGAATTACTTGAGAACTGTGGAAATTACTTTTTTCTTTTAAATTATTTTCACAATCGTTTAGTGGCAATGGGAGTTTTCCCAGAATGACTTAAAATATTCAAAAGTGAAACCACTCTATAAAAGGTGAACAATTTTACACATTGGCCTACAGACTAACTTTATTACTGACTGCATTATCCAAAATATTTGAGAAAGTAATTCTTTGAACTTGAACAACACCCTTGCAAATGAACAATTTGGGGTTTTAAAAAGAAATCTCAAAAGATAATGCCTATTTTTAAACAGATTTGTGTGCCTAGTTCCGAGAGCATTGCCTCTGAACTTTTACGTGTAATTTTTTTATGTACTCGAAGTACAAATATAGCACAATTCTTTAACAGTCTACCATGCGAAAAGTTTCAAACTGAAGGGAATTAAATGGTATTTACCACGCAAGTCAAGAACTTTGTCTAAGCACTTTTTAATATTTGTTAGAGTGTCGTCCACGAATTTTGTCAGCGTTTCATGGACAGTTTCCTCTCCGATATTCACGAGATTTAAATGACTCGTGTGTTCAGTATTACTGAGTTGGCTGTCAGACATGTTTCCAATATTTATGGCTTTGCCACGAAATGGAAACCAGCAAAGAGGTCGAATTACCCGCTGAGCACATTGGTACATACTGTGTGAAGTTTGTAAACGTTCGTAAGCGGCACTGAGCTGCTTAGCTAATACTGAACGCTTTCCATCTAAGCGAACAAAGACAACTGAGCGCAACGAAGGTAAGAGCCCAGCGATCCCAGTACCGAGGCTTTGAAACGTCTGGTTTTGCTGTTTGTGTGCCCAAACAGAAAATAATTAAACGTAAATAATTTAACTGCTTGTGTTTATTTTGTCGGTATTAATGTTTATACGTTTTTTGGAATGAAGGTTCAGTATTCTGTACATGCAGAAGATTTATTTTTTTCTATTTATAACATTGTATTATGCTGTTAGGAACCCTTTATTGAGCAGTGGAAGCGGGTAAGAATAGATATGACTGGAAGGTTTTCGTCAATGAGGTCCTCAAGGAGGAGAATATGCCGGAGATCTTGTAGAGGTTTTTTCTCATATTAACGGAGATTTAAGGTCTGTTAATTTAATACCTTGGAGGACGGACCTTATGTTTCTGTTTTTTTTATGTTACACTTCAGAGGTACTGACCCATATTTTTATAATACTTTGCAGTGGAGTGATGGGCTCTGATCAACAGTTCTGTCTGCGGTGGCACAATTATCAGAGCAGCCTTCTTGCATCTCTTCCACAATTGTTAGATGGTGATGACCTTACAGATGTCACCCTGTCAGCAGGTGGACGCAATTTACGTGCCCATCGGGTAGTTCTCTCTGCCTGCAGTCAGTACTTTAAAGAACTCTTCAAGGTATGTAAGGTGTTGTAATGTTTCATGATGGAATCCTCTTTTTTAGTTGTTTTTCTTTTAATGAAATGTGTTTCACCCACATCCAGGTACTCCAGCCATTGCAACATCCTGTGATAGTACTACCAGGAGCAAACTTCACAGATTTGTGTGCGCTAGTAACTTTCATGTACAGTGGGGAAGTTAACATATATCAAGAGCAGCTTCCAGGACTCCTCAACATGGCTGATGCAATGCAGATTCGAGGACTTGCTGAAGTTAATGGGGTAAGATAATACATTAGTGTTCCTTGAACATTAAATCTATATAACATTAGCTTATTACACACAGTTCACAGATTTCTATTAATCTATTAATGCCTTATGATGATTTTTTTTTTCTTTTGTTCAAATAATGAAATCTTCCTGTAAGTGTCAGAGTGATTTATATTTTCACACTCCATCTGCAGAAATTACCAGAATATAAATATATCGCTAGATGTGTATCGTTATTAAAGTCTTGAGTATTAATAAAAGAGAAGTTTAGACATTTCTTTATTGAAAGGAAGGTAGTCTTGGAGATATAAGAATGATAATGTAATAGTTATATTCTTAAGGCAGTATAATTTGATTTTTCATTCATTCATTCATTTATGTAGCTGAGTAGTTCTTGAAAAGATACCAATTGTGCAGCTACTCAAGAAGTTCCCAGCATTTTATGGAACCTGAAGGTTCATTACTATGTTCACAAGAGCTTTCCACTGGTCCCCATCCTGAGCCAGATCAATCCATTCTATACCATCTCATCCTATCTATCTCAGAAACATTTTAATATTGTCCAACCACCTACATCTTGGTCTTCTTAGTGGTCTCTTTCCTTCTTGCTTTCCCACCAATATCCTACATGTATTCCTCCTCTCCCCATTCATGCTAGGTGCCCGGTCCATCTCATCCTCCCTGACTTGATCACTCTAATTTTACTTGGTGAAGCGTACAAAGCTCCTCATTATGCTCTTTTTTCCAACCTTCCGTCACTTCATCTCCCTTCGGTCCAGATATTTTCCTCAACACCCTGTTCTTAAACACCCTCAGTCTTTGTTCCTCCCTTAATGTCAGAGAGCAAGTTTCACACCCATACAGAACCACAGATAAAATTAAAATTTTCTATATTCTAATTTTGAAGACAAAAGGTTCTGGATTAAATGATAGCAAGAATTACCCAAATTCAGTTTCCTCTTAATTTCCTCCTGATTCATGTTTTGATTTGTTATAGTCATTCCCAAATATCTGAACTGTGCCACATTTTCAAAACATCTGTCACCTATCTTTTTGTCATGATTTTTCCCTGCATTCTGGTGACAAGACAGCAGCATATACTTGGTTTCCTCTGTGTTTACTTCTAGATGTTATTTTCACTTCTACGTGGATTGAATGATTTGTAAGAATCAGTGTTCAATCGAACCCTGCTTTATTAAGACTAACCTTTGATACATAAAAGCATTTTATATATACAGTCAACTCTCGATTATCCGGGGGCGGATTAACCGGTTTGCGGCTTAACCGGGGCTTTTTTTTTTAAGTTTATATGTTGTTTAATATTCATTCACTTTTGTTTCACATGGTGAGTTTAACACTATTTTCGCACTAGTGTGAACCGAGCTCTGCATTATTTCGTCCCGTTATGCGAACACAATGTTCTAGGGTGGGGGTGAAAGAATGCAAGAATTTTTGGAAAGTTTCAAGGACAAATACACCGCCCCAGGTTATTTAACGGTACCATCTCAGTGTGAGAGTGCATTGTGAAAGTAAGTATCAGTTTCTTAATATAGATCTTCAAGTGCGTTAGCAAAATGTCGGGGTTTAAAAGGAAGCGTGTTGTGTTAAGTATTCAACAGAAACTTGAAATTATCAATCAGCTGGAAAAAGGAGCTGTAGTTAAACAATTAGCAATGCAATACGGTATTGGAGAACAAACTGTTCGTGATTTGAAAAAACAAAAGAATGAGTTAATTTCCTTTGCTTCGTCTTCTAATTCAAGCGGAATGAAGAAGAGAAAAACCATGAAGAAATCAACATACGATGATCTCGACAAAGCGATGCTGACCTGGTTTAATCAACTAAGGGCACAGGGAACAACAATAACAGGACCAGTTTGTGCTAAACAAGCTAAATATTTTTTCGAAGCACTTGAACTAGAAGGGAGTTTTGACGCTTCTTCCGGTTGGCTAACACGTTTCAAGCAGCGTCATGGAATACGAGAAATCAGTATTCAAGGTGAGAAATTGTCAGGGGACTTGTCAGCATCAGATCAATTTTGCACCAATTTTGATAGTTTTGTGAAAAGTGAAAATCTGCTGCCAGAACAAATCTATAATGCCGATGAAACGGGTCTTTATTGGAAATGCTTGCCAACCAGAACATTGGCATTTCAAAATGAAAGACAGGCTCCAGGTCACAAATCCAGTAAGGAGAGATTGACAGTCTTGTGCTGTTCTAATGCATCAGGAACACACAAACTAATACCAGTAGTTATCGGCAAAGCGAAAAGACCACGCTCTTTTAAAGGAACAGTAGCTTCAAGTCTGCCTATCCATTATTTTAACCAGAAAGTAGCTTGGATGAATAGAGCGATATTTAAAGAATGGTTTGATTTTAAATTCGTGCCTCAAGTTCGTGACCATCTAAAATCCCAAGGCCTACCTGAGAAAGCTGTGCTCCTCATTGACAATGCGCCCTCACATCCTAACGAAAGTCTCCTGAGGTCAGATGATGGAAATATTTTTGTGAAATATTTTCCCGCTAATGTTACCGCACTTATCCAACCAATGGATCAAGGAGTTATCTCAAGTATGAAGAGAATCTACAGATCAAATTTGCTACAAAAGTACATCGATGAAGGCAATGATCTGACGTGTTTCTGGAAGTCCTTTTCAGTATTAGATGCCATATACGAGATTTCAACAGCGTGGGATACAGTAAAGCCATCTGTATTGAAAAATTCATGGAAGAAACTGATGCCTTTCATCACTAATGAAGATGACGAAATCCATGGATTCACTGGATTCAGTGAAAATGAGATAGCCATAAAATTGACAAAAGTGGCTAACCAAGTTCATGGTGGTGAAGAAGTCAACGAGGAAAATATAAGAGAGTGGTTTAACTGTGACTCGTGTGAACCGGGCTTCGAAATGTTAAGCAGTGACGAAATCGTAACTTCAATGGGGGTGCAGCCAGAAGAGCGGGAAGAAAGTGAGAATGAGGAAGAGGTGGACAGTGTTGCCAGTAAGAAAGTATCACATGGTGCTGCGCTTAATCATTTGGAATCCTTACTAGACTATCTTGAGAGTGAAGAGGACAGTTTATTAAGTGACAAGCTAATATTACGTAGGCTTCGTACGGATATCCGTAAAAAGGAAAATGCCGCGAAAAAGCAAAAGACAGTATTAAATTATTTTAAGTGTTAAGTGTGACCGTAAAAAGTGCTGGATGTTGTTGAACAGTGATTGAAATAACTAATTCATACTGAGTGTAATGTAAAGAAAGTATTAAATAGGCCATGAGATGACATAGAAATGAGGATGAATAAATTTAAATACAGGTAGGTCTATAGTATTATGAAGGTATTAAAAGGTAAAAGGTAAAGTTGTTCCTCTGCTCAACGAATTAAGCCCTACGCCATTAAGGCGTGTGGGGGAGTGGATGTATAGATCCAAATTTTCTTGACCTCGGCACTAGTTGGAGGTGAGTGGTCAGCTTCACGCCCCGGCCGCTTTACCCCCGGGGAAAGAGCCCCCGGTACCCATTGGATAGGAGGTTGGATGGACCCCAGAGCCGGTCTGGACGATTTGGAGAAGTTAAAATTCTTGACCCTACCGGGACTCGAACTCCGACCCTTCACAGTCGTCCAGCCCGTATAATAAAATTTGGCTTAACCGGGTTTTCGATTAACCGTGACTTCCATCCCCACCATTAGCCCGGATAATCGAGAGTTGACTGTATTCACCCACAGAACCATGGTAACACATAACAATAGAGAAATTCTGTTTTTACACATATAACTGTAGTAACACATAACAATAGAGAATTTAGGAACGGTGCATGTAGCACAGTCTATTATTGAAAATTGTTTACTGTGACATTGCCAACTCTAGCATTATATTTTAACATTAGAGAGTTGCCAACATAACACTCCCCCGTAAACAGTTTTTTGGAATTTAAAAAAATACTTATTCATTAATCAATATATAAACAAATTATTATTATTTAAAACATCATTTGGAAACATTATTCTTAGCACAATCCAAGTGAATTAATAAAATCTGTATGTTTCTGTACATTTAAACCTTTTGTGCAACCATCAGCAACTAATTGATTTCCAGGGATGTAATGTACTGACAATTCCTTTGATTCAACCCTCTCTCTTACAAAATGAACCCTTATGTCAATATGTTTTGTTCGGTCATTATTGACAGGATTTTTCACTATGGCTAAAGCACCACGATTATCACAAAAAGTAGGAATAATGATTTCCTTGTTACATATTTCAAACCATAATTTTCTTAAGAAAATGGCTTCTTTCGCGGTCTCTGATAACGCCATATATTCTGCTTCTGTGGTTGACAAAGCTGCAGTCCTTTGTTTTTTACATCGCCAACTGATAGCTGCTCCTGATAGTTTGAACACAGATTCACTAAAGGATCTACGATCTAAATTTCCACCCCAGTCTGCATCGGAAAAACCTTCCAATTGATCATTATTCTGAGAATATACAATACCTACATCCTTTGTAGTATTTAGGTATTTTAGAACTCTTTTTAACAAAACCCAGTGCTCTCTTGTGAAACAAGTGTTAAATTGGCTCAAAAAAGTCATAGCAAAAGATATATCAGGGCGTGTGCATACGGCTAAATACATCATTGAACCTACAGCTTGTTGATATGGCACATCATCTAGATTCTCGATCGATTTATTTGATTTAGGCAACGGTTTCAATTTGCTATTTGGTTTTATTGGACAACTAGCTGGTTTAGTCTCATTAGGAATATTAAATCTCTTAAGAACATTGTTCAAATATTGAGTTTGGGTTAACTTTATAGTTTTCTTTGCCC